TTTTTTTTTTTTTTTTACATCTTCTGGAAAGCTTTCTGGAGTAAAACCATACCTGAAACTGTAGCCAGTTTTTGGTTACAAATTCTCCATTCAAACAATGGCCCACATAGTTTTTAAAAATTCAGAATGTCAAAACACAAACTAAACCACAGTCTGTTTGAGATAATTTAGTAAAGAGGCTGGAAGAAAGATCTTACCTGAGAGTTTCTGTGTATCTTATGTACCCTGCTCTTGCTTATCGTGTGGTTTACTTACTGACATTGTGTGTTCTTTCCAAGCGAGAATATCCAGGGTTCAGTTGGATCTACTTCAAGGTGAATTCGATAATCACGTTTTCTTTCATAGCCAAAAACAGTTTGATATGGATTTTGTGAAGTGAGCGTGTATGACTGTGCAAGTTCCTTTGTACTCTTTGTTTCCCTCTTGCTTACTTTCCTTTATTAATCAGTTGGCATGGATTGTTGCCGGGTAACACTTTCTGGTTTTCCAGGGAAACCTGCCCCCGGACTACCGCATCAGCCTCGTCGACATTGGACTGGTCATTGAATACCTCATGGGTGGGGCATATCGGTGCAACTACACCAGGAAGAGATTCAGAACTTTATACCACAACCTTTTTGGACCCAAGAGGGTGAGTGAAGGCTTCTCACCTTCATTAACATCCCACTATTCAATGGATTTCAACACTAATGTCTGGGAATTTCTAATGTCATTAATCAAGGAAACCATATCAGTGACATGAGACTTATTTGCCTATGAAACCAAGATAAATAATATGAGCAATGTATGAGATGAGATATGAGAAATTTCTTCACGTGGATTTCCTTTGCTCAAAGGATTCAAGTTTGAAACATATGATGAAAGCACAATTAAAATTGCAAGGCAAAAATAGGTTGTTTTAAAAATAAGTAAAATCTGCTTTGCCAAAGTGGCAATACAAAGCAACACTTGGAGATCCACTAACTACTTTATTGGTGAACCACTATAGAAGTGTAGCCCAGTAGGTTTAAGCTGTTTGTGTTATAGAGAATGTAAAGTTATAGAGAATGTAATCACACTGTGATCACACTGTGTTGACTTTTGGGTAAATATGTCATTATCCATCATAGAGATATATACTACATACATCTATAAGTTAATAAAAAAAATAAAAAAAATACTATCCCATACAACTACATACAGTGGATGATTCAGCCACATTCAAACATCCACTTTAGTGTTTAGTATGAGCACAGACATGACAGAAATTCAATCATCTGCAGTGTTTGTATCATCTGCTGACAGCTCCTAACTAGCTTTAACCCCACAGCTGAGAGCTGAGATCAGGGTGCAGTCATTTTTCAGCCTGTCGCTCTCATCGATGGGATCTCTAGGTCTGCTACGAGTTAGCTAGTCAGCTAAGGTTATCCATTCTGAATGATCACAGTCAGTAAAGTGAGATCTAAATGATATAAGCAACTTTTTAGCCAAACAAAACAAGAATATATGCAGGTAAATACAGTGCCCATCTCCCAAAATACCACTGCTGTCCCAACATTCAACACGGTGAGACGTACTTTCACATTTTCTATCCTAAGATGGAATTTAAGCCTACATACTTGTGCCTGACCAGCTAAATAAAAGAACTGAAGTAGCATACAAAAAAACTCAACATGATATCAAGACATGTATTGAATTGTTTCAATTGCAGAGCTGCTGTTAAATCCACACAGTTTTTATGGATTTAGCAACATGGCCCATTATCAGCAGAGTTCAAACAGAAGAGGTGTCCCCTCATTATTTTTCATTTCCACTTCAAGTAGAGTGACAGTACGGGCCATTATTAGCTTGAAGACACAATCCATCCATTCATAGCAGTGGCTGTTCATCATGTGCCATCATAACACAGAGGATACAAGCTCTTCATTCCACCACTGATTAGCACGCTTTCAGCCAGAGTGATAATTGAAATTATGCTCTAGTGTTAGGTGGTTGTGTGTTTTACACCAGACATACAACACATGATATGGTATTTGTTCATGTTTTGTTCTGATGTATACATTCTTCACACAGTGCCACAGGTGTGATGAATATATAAATATACACAGTAGTGTATGAAACACCATATGGCTGATTGATGGTGCACTTTTGTGTACATATGTTTGAGTATATGCATTTGTGAGTATGTGTAGGTGAGTTTTCATTTGCCTGTTTATCTTAATGTATGTCTGCCATGGCAGCAACGAAGCAGCTGGAAAGACGCAGATAAAGCGGAAGCGAGAGAGAGTCAGTTTAGATTTAACTGATTTTCCAGATGAAGTGAAATAAAATGAAAGCGTGCACACACGCACGCACACACACACACACACACAGACACAAACACAAAGAGTTAACTAAGAACAAAGCCCTGAAATAGAGGCAGATATAAAAACGCCCACAGGAGACCAGGGCTATTTTTACCAACTCAGATGATTGCTCATGAATGCATAATTCATACATGCCCTGCTTTAATACAAATACACAATATTGTACAAAATGCACAAACTCACACTGTTTTAATGCATGCAAACATGCACCTGTGAGGAGACTGTTATTGTCTATAGTTACTGTCAATAATAACAGCAGCCTGTGAGCAAGTCTTTCTGTTCGTCAGTGTGTGCCATGCTGTGCTTGTAAAGGAAATTGCTTTAGAAAATTACATTCGACAAGGTCTTCTTCTGTTTGTTGTTGTTTTCTAGCCCAAAGCCCTGAAACTGCTGGGGATGGAGGTGAGTGTTTATTTTATATTCTTCAGTGTCCCTCGTATAACACAGTGTATAGTCAGTCTGATCAGTAAAATAGCTAAGTGTGTCTTGCAACCTATAAAGGAGACATATTTAATTTGTTTCATTAGCAGTGTGTGTAACTTTTGACCAAGCTGAAGAGTCATTGTCAAATAAAATTATCAGGCATTTCGCACTTTTGTACAAAGTTATTTTCACTTTACATTTTCTTCCTAATTATAAAATGACAAAAGGCTTGTGACTACATAAAGTCTAAGCTTTATGTACAGACAGCTTACATTTATGTGGCTCTTATGACACATGTCACAGCAGCCAGGTTACAATTAATTGGATGGGTAATAACTGACCTAATGGGATTACATAATATAATAGTTGTGTACTCATAAGTATTCATGGTGTGCACACTGTGAAAACCCATATTCTAAAGCTTTTATCACACTGTAGACATGTCTACTGTGTGATGTGTTTTCTCAAAAGCATTTATATCTAACGTGTATGAGTGTCTGTTCCTTCATGTGTCTGCTTGTTTGTAATTTACTTCCTTGTCAGCATGTCTTCTCTTTTTGGTGGTGCTTTTAAAAATCAGCTTATTATTCTGTCTTTATTGTCATTTATTTTTTAAGCATTTTGAATTGCAGAGTTAAAAACAAATAAATAGGTTGAATATTTCCATTTTCGAAAGCCAATTTATCCTTCAGTATGGTGACCTGGCCATGAAACAGAGTATGGTATTGCTGTTAACTTTGGACAGCTGTGCTTATTGAATACTTAACATATGGGGCTCCAATTATTTCTAAATATCTGTACATTCACAGATTTACTCTTTTATAAATGGATATCAATGAAGTGTCACTGTCTGAATTATTTACTGCAGTGGTACTATCAGTAGAATACCTTTCTTTCTGTAGATAATCTCAGAGCAAGCAACAATTCTAGTGGCACTGAAAGTCATTTATCAAATATATGTAATTGACCAACTGTCCATCTTCTGCTTTTAAAATGTGAAACTATTGGACATCAGTACAGTTTGCTGACATGCCATCTAGGCAGTAACTGGAAGTGTCAATCTCTCCAGAGACAGAGAGGGAACCTGGATGCACTGAGACTCAAGTGATGTTTTTTAATCCTAAGTAAGGGGCACGTCTGTCTCTTCCAGAATCCGACTATCCCTCTGCAAATGAAAAGTTTTCAAAAACATATTATGAAAACCTGCACTGGGTGATGTGATCACTTTAGACGTGTCTAAACCCGTGAAGAGTACTTTAGCGTTTTAAGCTAGGGGTATCATCCAGTTTTTTTTGGGTGCCCCTTATAATCATTATTTAGAACCCAAATATTGACCTCATAAAGGATCCATAACTATCTCAGGATAAACATAAAACCTTTTAATGTTGTCTGGTTTTACTGAATTTATGGTAACATATGTCATTCCCAAATTCAAATTGAAATAAATACAATAATAAAATATCAATCAGATGCCTCTGTCTTTCCACCGCATTCACTTGTCATGGATCTCCACCAGGATGAAATGCCAATACGCAGAGGACGCCAGAAGACCACCCGTAAACGAGAGGAGGAGGTGGACATCGATTTGGACGACCCAGAAATCAACCACTTCCCTTTCCCCTTTCATGAGCTGATGGTGTGGGCTGTGCTTATGAAACGTCAGAAGATGGCACTGTTCTTTTGGCAGCATGGTGAAGAGGCCATGGCCAAGGCCTTGGTCGCCTGTAAGCTTTGTAAGGCTATGGCACATGAAGCCTCTGAGAACGACATGGTAGACGACATTTCCCAGGAGCTAAACCACAATTCCAGGTGGGTGACATGAATGGTGCACACAGACACAAAGAGCCATCTCTGTGTGGGTTTAGACATAATATTTCAACATAATGTGATTTGGTAGTCCTGAGCAGGACCAACACACTTCTGCACTAAATAATTAATGCACATGCCTTCTTCCCTGCAAACTGGCCCATTTTAAACAACTCTAGGCTCCCATGGGATCTAAGTGACACACATACAGTACAGGGTTCTAAATAACATGCATACATGTTGTATCGTTAGTTAAGGATATGCATTTGAGATTAAGGTAATCGTCTAGAGATGACTATACTGGCTATGGAAATAACTGTTAATTAAGAGTAAAAACATTCAGATACTACAGGCGCAGCCACATCAATCCAGTCACTGCCCCAGCACACACACACACACACACACACAATTCAAAGGACAGGATTAGAGCTGGAAAGTTTGGGGTTTATATTCCATGGGAGAATGCGGCTGACTTTCTTCTAAGAGCTCATTTAAGTACAGTACATGCATTTTTATATCTTTAAATAATCCTTACATAGTTTGCAATTGCAATGTTTATGAATGTCTTTATGTACTGTGTGTGCGTTGTGTGTGAGTGTGCGTTACTTTTCAAGGCAACTGCAAATAAAGGGTACACTTACAATGAAATATTCACCTTTTATATGTAGCAGTTGTTTAAAAGCACCTCATAGAAACAGAATGTCATTCATCCAGTTCATGTGGTTCTGGTGAAATGTATCATGTGCTGAATAGCTGTGGCTCTGTGAATCCTTGTTTGTTAAAACCCCAGCTTTGTTATACTTTGTAGTGTGAAATATTTGTGAGCGTGTGTGTCTTTGTGGAGGAATGTCCCTTCAGTGGCTGAAATTATGGTGAAGCTTGTTCTCAAAGTATTAATTTATATTTTTCTTGCCTGAAAGGAGGGTTATTAAAATGCTGGTGCAGGGGATGGTGCATTATGTTTGTTTGCAGTTTTGCATATTTGATAGTGGGAGGTTGTGTTCTTGAATGAATGTGTTGACCACATTACATTCAAATATTTCCAATTTTTTTCTCATTTTTTTCATATTAGTTCTATATGTGATTGTAGCTTCAAAATCAGCTTAGAGCATTTCTTGTTCAGCATGCTGTATACATTCATTATGAACTTGAACAACAAGCAATCAAAACTCCTTCAGTTTGAAATGATACAGATATAAGTACCTGTGAGAATGTGAGCCCTCTTTGTGGTATATATACTGTATGCATCTGTGACACAATATTAGGTATGCATGTCATGTCAGGCCTTGACATGCCTTTGTGCTGTTTGAGCTGCAAAATGTTGTTGTATCTCTTTGCGGGCATACAAATCTCCTTCAGAACTTGAGCAGATGGCCAGGGACTCCTTGACTGGTTGAATTACATGTTCACATGAATGGACAAGGTGTCTTATAGTCTCTGTTCATGTCTATTTGTGCCTTTATGTCCGGCATATAATTTCCCAGAGAGTTTGGCCAGCTGGCAGTGGAACTCCTAGACCAGTCCTATAAACAGGATGAGCAGATGGCCATGAAGCTTCTGACGTACGAGCTGAAGAACTGGAGCAACGCCACCTGCTTGCAGCTGGCGGTAGCTGCCAAGCACAGAGATTTCATCGCTCACACCTGTAGTCAGATGCTACTGACTGACATGTGGATGGGACGCCTGCGCATGCGCAAGAACTCAGGCCTAAAGGTAACAGAAGTGAACTAGATGTGAGATAAATTATAGGTAGAGCAAAGAAATGTGTGCAACCTAAAGTGACCTCAGGCTTTGGTGTTGACAGGGCTGTAGTGGAATGCTTGAATCATCTAAGGCAGCTTGAGAAAACAATGACAACCCTTCTTACCTCTCTGACAACCTATTGTGGCCCAAACTGGTGAAAAAAGAGCTCTCACTGAAATGACATTTTAATCATGTGGAATTAACAAGCTGAAGCTGGGAGCACACTGGTGTTACTGGTTATAACTGTGGTTTGGCCATGATTACTCATTCCTAAGGATGTGGAGAGTGTGCACTGGGCCGTGAAAAGTAAATAGTTCACCAGTGATGGTATTAAATAAATAAATAAAAACTTTATTTTGTAGTTTGTTTACATTTACATCATATCAAACTTAGATTTTTAACTGGATTGTGGACAAATCTAAATTGTGCATTTTGGTTAATAACAAGTAGTTGTTTAAATATCTGATGTCGAGTGTTTTCCGTCAGTTGAGTCTTGCAGGGTTTTTCTGTCTCAAAATATATAACACAGTTTCATGTATGCACAGTTTAGTTTAGACAAAGAGAACAATGGGATGATGCAGGAGTAATATAAACAGATAACAGACTAATAATGCAGATTAGTTTAGTTTAGTGAACTGATGTTCTCAAAGTTAGACTGTGATACTTGTGTTGCTTGTCACAGCCAGAAGAAAGAGGTTTATTGGACAATAATATTTTGGAGAAACATTAGGAGTGTGACCAGTGTCTTAGTGAAGCGCTCTCCTGGTTGAACTCCCACCACAACCTCAATAGTATAATCTTACAAAGCAGAAACAGGAGAACTGAACTTAAAGTAATTTGTTTAAAAACAAAACAAGAAAAATGAAAATGGTGCCCCACATATTTTAAACTGAGACCCATGTGGTGAACAACCTTTTGAGTCCAGGGGATAGGTTTCATTTAAGACTGATGGTTGAGTTTTGAGCACTTTTTGCTTATGTAGGTTTCCCAGATGTCTGGTGGTAGGGTGACAGGAGGCAGCCGCTCAGATCAGAGAGGTTAGAGTTATTTATAATCAAGATTTGCCCTGGGAGTTGCTGAAGAGACAGCTGGGTTCACTCTCATTCATACACAGAGTCAGATAGGATGAAGGGTCTGGCTGGCTAGCTTCTTGGAGCAGGGGCAGACTTCATGTGCTTTAAGTATAGTTTGGCCTTTGCAGGAGGGAGAGAGAGAGAGAGCATAAGGCAAGCTCGCTGAAGCAGAAACACAGAAAACAAACCACAAGCGGAACAAACAAGTTTCGGTGCCCCCAGGAGTTCACGATATACAGCAAATAACATTGTCACAATGTTGTCAAAATAATATGTGTGCACATTTTTGAGTTGCTATTGTTGTGAGGACAGTCAAATTCAACCTTCCGCCACTTTAAATCATGTTAGAACCTGCTCACATTTATAGTTCTGACAAATAGTTGGTATCGTTGTCTTGGACTCCCTGAAATGACTGAACTGAGATGTCACTTTCTGTGCTGTGGTTATATTTCTGTTTCACATTGGTCACAACCCCTGTTCATTCATCCTGAAACTCTTCTTTTCATAGTTTCATCTAAAACTGATACATTTCACAATACAGATGTTTCGAGAGGTAAGAAGACACTTGTTTACACTGCTGCCAGTCTTCTTCTCTCTCCCTTGTTCTTCACCTTCCCACTGTGGCTAACCTCACTCTTGCTTTTCCTCTTTGATTTCTTGTTTGATTATTACATATCTAAAGTGGTTACAACATGCCTGCCCCCTTTATCTGCTGCAAGTGTGTGTCCCTCTCAATCACGGTGGCACCACAGTACCCTTGCTGCCTATTTGGTCTAATGCCTTTGTAAACAACTCTGGTGATGAGAATCCTCGCCTGAGCGGTCATAAATACCAAGGTGTGCGCAGTCTGTGGCATTATTGCAAGGTGTTTAAGAGAGTATATTTATACAATGTGAGTCTCACACATGCATGTTGCAGGCAAATTATGAAGGTTGGTTTGTTCCAAACTCTGTGTCCTAATTTCTGCCTCACCTCTCATGAATCTTTATCACATCTGTGATCTGTCACGTCCAGCTTTTCTCCCTGACTTTTCTCCTCCTCTACCTTCCTCATCATCCAGGTAATCTTAGGGTTGCTCCTGCCACCGTCCATCCTGAGTCTGGAGTTCAAGAACAAGGATGAGATGTCCTACGTGCCCCAGGATCAGGAGAACTACCTGCAAGAGAAGGAGGAGGAGGAGCCTGAAAAACCAGTCAAGGAGAAGGAGGACGAAGACATGGAGTTCACAGTAAGATCTTACTGTGAGGCGCAGTACAACTCCGTGGTGAGAGAACCCACCTCAGCCCTGCATCTCAGAACCGAAACACATATTCAAGCTTAAAACATTTACACATGCTTTGTTCAGATTATAAAACTGATCACTGACCACATGGCCCAGATTCTACTGTATTGTAACTATCTCCTGTGGGCCAGTTTTGCTGTCCATAGTGAGACAACAACATGCACACACATACACAAACAATTCTGCACGCATACACACGTTTCTCTATTCTGGCCAGCTGGACCCTTCCAGCCAAATCAGCCTTTCCTGTTTCTCATTGTCTCAGCAAAGACATGGTCGTGGAGTTGTAGCGTCTCAGTCTGTCGCCGCTTGTGGGTTCCCTCGTGTATATTTCTACTTCTATCTCCTCTATTTCTCTGCCTTTCCTTTGGTCCCACTTGTTCTCTGCCCAGCTCTTTTTTGTTTCTTCTTTTTTATCTCTTGTCCTACACCTCTCCTTCTCTCTTTAGCTCCTTCTGTCTTTCTCCCTCTCTCCAAGCTCAGTTCTGAATGAGGTACAGTACTGTATGCTAGCCAATTGCTGCCCCTCACTCTCTCTCCCATCAGTGATGGTTTGCTGCAGCATACCACTCAGCATGTCGGCTGCTGAGCATGGAAGGCCCAGGCTTTTGCATTATGTAACCATGTGGAGCTGCTGCTGCAGAGCTTAAATCATGCAGAGTCTGAGCACCTTCTCCCTGCTCACAGCACAAGAGTTGGTCCATCTGCATAGACACGGATGTACAGCAGGGTTAGGACACGTTCCAGTTCAATTCAATCAATTTAGGAAATTATACCAAGATCCAATTTGCGTGTTAAAGCCAAGGCCACAATTTGAAAAAGGCAAATTTAAAACACAAACTGGATCTGAGGTAGTCTCATTAAGTGATTGAATTGAGGTTTGAACGCCTTTCAGCACCACTGTACATGCTCTCCATCTGCATTGAGCACAGCCAGCAAGCCCATGCAAAGATTCATAAAACGGGCCATTGTACACATGCAGTCCTTGAGGCCCTGCAGTGTTAAATTAGAAAAAGAAAAGCACCAGTGCTCTCAGAGGATGCATTTGCAATTAGCCCATCCTGTTGCCTTGGCTTCTGACTGTGCAAATGCACCTTCAGATACTTATGAATCACATAGGATTCATATGGATATGCAGACTGCTATACACCACAGAGGGAGATTGTATTGTCCTATGCTAAGATGCTTCAGATAATCTACACTGTGATGAATATAATAGCTTGTGCGATATCTTATGTCCACTTACTGATAATGCAGACAATGTGAATGTTCACTGCAGTAAAGGCAAAATGTGATTTACACACTGGCCTCTGAATCTGTTCACCCTGAAGGCCCTCTCTGCATGTGCCTTGCACAAAACTTGAGTTGTGTACTTTCACATACAGTGTTTAGAAAAAAAAATTCCTTGGTTCCTTACTGATGATGACTTCTTGCTGGTTTGTTTCTGGTTTTATCACTAGAGTACTTGTTCAAGGGCCTGGGAACTTAAACCAGCTGCTCAATGTATGTTTCAAATGTCTTATCTTTGCCGAGGTCTGATATACTTCTTGACATACAATACAATTCCATGAATGTACTCCCTCAGAGGTCTGGTGTTGCTTTGACATTTAAACCATGACACATAAAAACAGTGGGCTCCGAATAAGGAAATGTGTCACCGATAGAGATGAGTTATTTACGTCTTATCTTTTTCTTTTTCTGTCTTCCTTCTGTCATTGCCTGTGTCTGTCTTCTGCTGCTTAATTGTTGTCTGAGACATGATCCATGAGTGTCTGTGTCTGCGTCATACTGTGTTACCAGCCTTCACCCAACATTCCACCTCAAACATACATTTCACATTTTGGAATGATGACATTGCCCGTGCTTGCCTCTTTGATTATGATATTAAAACTGTGTTGTATCCCATAATGTAATCGTCTCCCCCTTCTCCTTTTTTCTTTGTTATTCCACTCTTCACCTCCACCTGTCTTCATCTCCATCCTCTCTTTCTCTCCACCCACTCTTCCCTCATCTTTCCAATCCATCTCATTTTCCTCTTCCCACACACTCCATACCTTTATCACTCACTCCGTTTGCTCCTTCCTCCCTCGTTCCATGTGGGGTTTACATCCACCCAGGCAATGCTGGGTAAGGTAACCGCAGAGGCATCCAGAAAGAAGGATGTTGAGGAGGTTCAGCACCGCCACCGCCTCATCCCCATGGGACGCAAGATATACGAGTTCTACAATGCTCCAATTGTCAAGTTTTGGTTCCATACGGTCAGTGTCGGCTTCAGCAACACCACCTACATATCCAGCGTCCTGTTGGCACCGTCAGTGCTTAGTGTATCTCTGCAACAGCATCATTGCTCTCATGCTGTTAGTTTCTACTTCCAAGGTGCTTCCCTCCTTCTCCATCCTGTCATTACTCAGCTTTACCGGGGTGCAAAAGTTTAGTGTGAAATAGATGGGGAGACAGGTGGAAGCAGCATGATGAGAAGGAGAGTGAGAGAGAGAAAGAGGTGAAGATTGCACAAGGAGGTTTTGTACTGGCAGTATGAACACACTGAAACCTCTGGGACACGGCATATTGTCACTGGATTAAATATTGCAATTAGCAAATAGTATTTGATTTCAAGTTTAGCTTGTGTTTTGTACTGTACGTTATTTGCCTATGAGTATGTGTGTAATGTTTGATATAGGCTGATGTTTTGCCCATACATGTACCCCATCTTCAGCTTCTTTAATTTGCTTGCCCAATGAAAACATCTATTAATCCCTAGCCGGGATTTCACTACTAAGAAAGTATTTTGACAGTTTTCTTGTTTAATCCCCTTTTTCTTCTCACCCCTCATCTACTTTCTGTCCTTCAAGTTAATGAAAAATATTTTACTGTGAATTTTGTTGCACTTTATTTGACCAGTCATGAGCCGTAGAGCACACGTAAGTGTGGGAAAAGTTACACTGGACAACTGACATAGATTTAAATAGATACAGCCGCAGAAGACATATACTGGACATTTGTATAGCGATCATATGTTTTGACATCAAATCTCTTTAGTCAGATCTGAAAAATTGCATTAAAGTGATGTGTAATGAGGGTCAGACATAATTTGAGCAGTTACACACATCCTTTTCACCTTTGGAGCCAATCTGCTTTCACAGAGAGATCTGAACTTTTTATTGATGTACAGTTTGCTACACAAACACATAACCATGACTACAATCGTGCTTATTTCCCCTTGATGTTGTGTTTTTATGTAGATGGCATATGTGGGCTACCTGATGTTGTTCAACTACATTGTCCTGGTCAAGATGGACTTGTGGCCTTTGCCTCAAGAATGGATCGTCATCGCTTACATCTTCACCAATGGCATTGAGAAGATGAGAGAGGTACAGCAAGTCCTAGCAGCAGCTACATGCAAATGTGCACCATGACGGCAGAGCTGTAGTGAACACAGTAATCACCATGGCCAAGTCAACTGACTCAAAGCTTGTCACCATGATGTCAATACTTTTTAATTTAGTGGTGGAGAGGAGAGGCTAAACATTATGTCCAGGTGCAGGCTGACTGATGAACAAAGCTTTGTTTGTGTTGTAGGCTGTCTTGCCCAGACACTGAATAACTAAAACAGCCTAATCGATATTGACAAAGCATAGAAATTGACAAAGGTATTTTTATTGATCATAAAAAGGGACCCTGTTTACAGTTTTACAATTTTAAGTCCTGTATAATATCCAATAATGTCTCACTCTGGCTGTAGAACATAATAATAATAATATTGATAACAATAATAATAATAATAATA